AAGATAAATATTTAATTATCCCCATCACATAATTAAAGTTCTTAAGGTTCCCCATGGGAGAGGCAATAATTATACCAGTGAAAATCTCTGGTGGGTCACTGACAGTCGGAGTAGACAATATTGGGTTAGGTGGACTAATGGGCTGAATCTGTATCGGGCAGTTGCACATGTCCAGTGCACACATCCCAGTGGTGACTGGTATGGCGGAAGACAGGAAGACCAACAGTGGAGACAGAGCCAAGGATAATTTGCCTCCATTCTCCTCCTTGCTGAGTTCAACAAAGGCATCACTGAGTGAGACTAAGGAGGAGGCTGACAGTCAGTGCCACAACCCTTGGACTGGTTGTAAGTTAGGAGGCAGACAGGTGGGGACTGAGTGAAGGCAGAATCATCTTGGTGGGGCAGTGCCCAACTTGCCCTAATGGACCAGTATATACCACTATTCTCCCATACTGCATATGGAGAGAAGGGGACTGACGTAGAGAGAGAATGGCTTGTTAAATGCCACCTAATGAGTTTATGGTAGAGTTGAGATGTGAGCTAGAAACTTCCAAATTCATAGTTCACTTCCTTAGCTACTATATTACACCTGTGCTCATAAGAAGTTTCAGACAACCACAACACTGCTTTTTCTTTATTTCAGACTGTATGTGTGCCTTCATAGGTCTCTTTGTATAAGCTACAAACCATACATATCAAATAAATTAATAATCAAAGTTACATATATGACAATGCCAATAACAAAGATGTCTACCTTTCAGTCACTTAGCATTCTTCCTCACTGAATAGGTTGCGGAATAGAACTTATTCTTGGAGTTAAAATATAACCACTTGTAGAGCGAGACAGTAAGGATTCTTTAGTTATATACTTGTGGGTTTCTTAAAATGTATATATTTTATTTCTGTACAGCTTTTCCCGTGTCTTGAGATGGCTCACAACTGTATTGCATGCTGAGATAAGAAAGGTCTTGTCTTGACAGATCCAAGAAACAAAGAGAAGGAATCATTGAAACCATATTTTGCAAGAATCATTTGCTTTCTATAGAAGCAGAAAAGGCTCTGGTGGTATGTGCTGATCCAGGATGAAGTTCCAAAACTCTTGCACAATGTCTACAGATGTTTGTACTATGGGTAGAGTCTCTCTTTCTTTTTCAACAGAAAGAATCTTGGATTTGATTTTTTAGTGACATTTTGAGAAGATTTTGAGGGGGGAACACTTGGGAAATATCAAAGCTATTTATGTTTGAAGGAGTTATGGCAAAGCTATTGTGCAGCGTAGCACGAAAACTTTGACCAGCCTTGTGGTAAAACAAAATGTTTTTGTCCTTTTCCTCAAAGCATCTAGCTGCCCACTCTTCCTGAAGCCCCAGCTGTATTTCCTCTCCATTTCTTTTTATCTATATGATGAAGAGGGATAGGAATTTGGTGATGGCTCTCTGCAAATATATCAATGTATGATACTTGCAAGAACTGAGTACACCTATCCAACAGATGGTCTGTGCTGTCTGCTTTGATAGTACCAACCATCTACTGGGTGGGTGTGTTCTGACTGCCCTCAGCCCAAACAGATTATCAGAATTAGCATGCCTGCTAGCAGAACTGATCACTGTGAGCACTATGCAGGCAGCCCCATTCCAGCAACTGGAATTATATGTGCAGGCTTCACGGTGGGGATTATGTGTACCTCACCCTACTCTATATGTGAACTAAGTAACAAAGATCTTCATCAACCATAGGCATGGGCTTGGGCAGGTCCAACTATATCCTATTTAAATGCTCTTATGAAAGTCTTTTAACTTTTAAAAGCAAATTTTATTACATCTTAATGGGTGGGTTTTTTTCCCAAAAGAAAGAAGCCCAAAGTCTGCTAAACTAGGGCAGAACTTGTTTATAGCTCTTTGGTTGCCAATTACAGAAAAGATTCCATGTGCGGGTTGCACTTGCTAGATCAAGGCATGTTTATGTGTCTCTAACGAAACAAATGTGGTAGAGTGGGCCGTTCAAATAAGTGAGCTTTGTTCATCTCGTGAATAACTGATTTTATGCTTTTGTTATGCAGAATGAAGTCTTCAATATAAAAGCCATTTTAGAAGCCTGGACTCTTGCGTACTGTTGGATATAGTTATTTAGTTGAGGACTTGTTAAAATAGCCTGGCAGCTTATGCAATGAGTCTGTCAGCCACATGCTTGGATGTGCAAATCAATCTGTAACTGTCTCATGGTGGGGCAAATCCATATTAGCTACTGAGCTTGGGTTGCCATCTTTGGTCAGGCAAAATACAGGACAGATGGGACAAAATAAAGGACAGGTTGGGGGAATTGTGGGGCACATTCTCTCTCATGGCACCAAATCCTCCCTCCCCCCTTTGAGGAGGTGAGGTTCTCCTCATTCAGCCTCCCGCCACCCTGGCCTGGCCTGTAGATGGGCAGGGGCCATGGGTAGAAGGCCAGCTCCCACAGTGACTTGAGCTACAGCTCCATCCTCTCACCCCAGCTGGCATCAGAGAAGACTCAAGGGCAGAGGAGGAGGAGAGGTCAGGTCGGGGTGGTAGAGGGCCAGTGGCTGAGGAGGAGGAGCAGCGAGAGGGAAGGAAGGAGGGGAAGAGGGAGAGAGAGGAGGTTGCTCCTTCCCTCTACTGTCACTTGTGCCGGGCCAGACACCCCTTCAGCCATACCAACAGTGACACAACTGCCATTTTGGGCCAGCTGAGCTCAAACATGGGGGGTGGCATCCTGTTTGAAGTCCAAACAGGACAGGGGACACTTTTGTCCCAAAACAGTGTGATCCCAATTTTCTAGGGATGGATGACAACCCTATGCATGATGGAATGCAAACGTGTTCTCTTGCTTGACTCCTAGGATGCATAAGCACAGGCTCTTTTGTGCCAAGTCCTGAAACAACCTACCTAAATATAAGTGAGCTTACAAAAAAGAAGAGCCCAAGCAAAAACTCCCATCAATTAATCTTTTTAAAAAGGTATGAGATACTGCATTTTTGTAAAGTACCCAGAAACAGTGAGTGTGACATACAACAACACACATACCACACACTCTGAGCAGATGGGTATACTCTGTGCTAGTAGGGAACACACTCCCATCAGACAGCTCCAGACCCAGGATGATTGGGAGTGGCCATCACAGCCACTACAAGAACGTAATGCTAGACTAGATGGAATTTTGCCCTGAACCAACCAAGCTCTCCTTATGTTCTTAGATCATGATCTACCAGTACTTCTCTAGGTAAGCTGCAGAAGATCAGCAAGGATTCTGACTCTCTATTGTTTAATAATAGCAACAAAAAGCCTTTCCCCACATTCCAAATTAGGCTTTTGAGAGGAATAAAGCTTGTAGGGTGGAATCAGGAATTAATTTTTGTGTGATAGGACTATGAGCTAAGTGCTGGTACTGAAAATAAATTCATGGGCTGCATATCAATTCAGAGTTACCCTATTCCTTAATACTAACAGTATGTTGCTTCTGCCCCTGCCACCAATTTAAATTTGGCTTAATAGATCTTGAGGTTCTAGTAAAAACAAAAAAACAAGTAGATCCCACAAGCTTGGAGGGTGCCCACCTGATCAGTACTGTATTGTAACTTGAATCAGACTCTTTCCTATAGGCAGCTAGCTTAGCTTTCTGACATTTGTGTAAATTGCAGCAACACCAAATATCAGATAAATGTTAGATTGAAACATCATGAGAAAAATTTCCTTCCAACCCAAGCGGACCGTCTGCTGCTATATTACCCACAACCTATCTGGTTCACACATTCCCACATCATGCCATTCCACTGTGGCCCTTGCCTTTGGCTTGCTCCATTGCATTAACTGCCAGCCTTCAAGTCTTGTGTTTTAGCCTTATTTCTTAATTATTTAAACTGGTTGTGACTATTTTATATACCAAAAACTGTGTGGCTTTGTGCAGGTTGTGAGAAATGCATGACTCGTTCACAGCTCAGTGAAGTTTATAAACCTGCCAAATTGGTGAGGGGGGTGCAATTAGTTAAGTTATTGTCCCTGTATTCGTTTTCCCTCTTTTTTCTTCTTCTTCTTTCGATATTGGCACTGAACGCAAGAGAACCTACGAGGGAGCAGATGAAGCAAGAGGGTTCTGAATAATATCCTCTCTGAACTACTGCCCACTGCAAAAGCCACACTGTCAGTAGTTAGACCTGTTAAAATTATCTGGAAGAGGCATGGGTTGTGATGGGGAGGGCCCATATGGCTGACTTTTCTAAGTTCTCGAAATATGGCCCAAGAAACAGTGAACAAGACAATGGGACAGTTTGAGCATGAGAATCTTTGCTTAATAACAAGGGCAGCATGATGTAGTTCACTCATAGCACTAAGCAAAATCACAGCTTAGTATAAATGAGCAAGCATGTGAGCTCCCAAAACGGAGATTATGGCTACATTGTTCTTCATATCTGGCCTGTTGCTGCTGTTGTGCGTCAAGCCATAGTTTGGCTTACTATGTTGCCCAAACCCTTGCTTTTGGCTTGTCTTGCTCCAGACAAACAACAATCTTTAACCATAATTTGTCTGGAGAAGACAAACCATGGGTCTGGGTTTAGAGCATAGTTTGCCTTAGCATTACGTGTAATCTGAACTGCTAAGTACTGGTTCCGTCCGTATGCTTCTCCCTCCCCTCTCTCCTTCTTTGGTATGTCCAAGTGGTTTCAGGTGAAATGACATTAAAGCTGCAATTGTTTACCCGCTTGCCTGGGAGTAGGGTTGGGGCAAAAATTCAGCTCACATTTATACCCAAACCTATGAAATTTACACTTTCCGAAACAATAAGCAAAATGGAACACAGTCATCTTTCAAAAGGCAAACTCCTCCTGATTTGGCAGTGCAGTTCTCCAGCCAATGTATATGTACAAAAATGCTCATACAGTATTCAGGTAAAGTGTGCATATAAATGCATACATTAATGAAAATAGCATACAAAAGCACAATTGCTTTGCAAAATATGTATATTAGGCAAAATGTATATATAAACATGTGTATATTAGGAGAAAATTGTAGTGAAATGTTGGTGAACTTTCATGAGGACCTGAAAAAACAAAACCTGGATGTAAAAATATGAAGAAACAAAGCTAAGCTTTGAAAATGAGAAACAGAGAAACCAAAACTGAGATATTCACCCATACCTGGGAATCAGGTTATAAGCTTGCACTGTAAAGTACCATTTCCCATTTCATTCCAAAGAGCTACTTTGGAATTGGGAATTCTAATTACAATTTTTCACTCCCCCACATACAATTTGAACAGCAGATTTTCCATGACATTTTAAAAGTTAATTTTGAAATATCCATTGCTTTCATCATGATCCATTTTCCTTATGGCACTGGAGGCTGCTTTTCAACAAACACATGCTCAGTACTTTGTGGGGCATACAGACCTAGTTCCATGGTTCAGTGGATGCTAATCAGTAACTTTTATTTCTACCACTTAGAGTAATATGTAAATCCAAATTTTATAACACTATCAGGAAAAAAAGTTCAAAATAAAAATGGAGGGGGAAGAGCAGGAGGAGGGAAAGAGATGTTTCTGAACAAGGTCATGCATACTTGAATCTAAAAGTGAGAGCTGGTTCTACACTCATGTTAAGGCTGAAAACATTGCTGTATTGAGGCATGTGTGACTGTTGGCCATATTCAGATGTGATACAGTTGGCAGAATCACATCATGCATTTAAAGTGCATTCAATGTGCATTTAGACCACATGACTTCTCTCAAAGAATCCTGGAAATTGTAGTTCACCCCTCAAGACCTACAGTTCCCACCACCCTTAACAAACTACAGTAGTTCCAGCACTCCTGATCTACTCTAATCTTTATCCAGAGGGAAAACAGATAACAGTATGGCTTAGAATTACCGTACTTCTGACTCAGCGCTCATTGTTTGTTGCTCCCGAGCAAACCGCAAACCAAGAGCGAACATTCATTTCAGATCACGGTTTCTCACCCCTGATTTGGATAGCATGCAAAGTCTGCTGCTCCATGGTCTGCTTCCCCTCTGGAGGGAGGAGCAAAGTTGGGGAGCCTGAGTTGGGTGCACCGGTACCTTGTACCCAAATAAGCCTCTTAGTTTACATTTCTAGACTTTCTTTCAACATCCCCCAAGAAATCACAAAAACGCAAGCATGATTTTGCAGTCTGCAAATTGGACTATGGCAGTACAGCAGTATTTTCAGTTCAGCACTAAAAATATATATAGCTTGCATGGAGTGGTGTAAACCAACGCAGAATCAATTAAGAGCACACTTGTGAAATTGACTAGGGGAGACTGGAACGTATAAAAGCCCAGCCTTGATACACACAATTTTAAACTGTCTCTCCTATAACACATACCTGCTCTTTGTCAATATGGGGACTATTAATTTCTTTCTATGCATTTTTAAAGTATTTAAAAATAACTAAGATGTCGCTTGCTTTTTCAGTTTCAAATCATTGCCAGGTTTCTTCTTCTCCTCAGACTTAAGGAAAGGCTAGAACCATATTAGGGCTGTGAGTGAGTGTCCAACCCTTTTGCATTCATCAAAGCCAGCGAAGCCTGTGCCTAGTCAACAGATAAAACTGGACTTTACGGAAGGATTTGATATTTTACCAAAGAACTATTCCAAATGCTTTTCTAGCAATTATTTGTGTCTGGCTTGCATCTGGGGATGTTCTCATTGCACTCAGTGGATTTTTTCTATGAATAAAATTACACAGGATTAAGTTCAAGTACACTCTTTTCCTGTTTGCAAATGATTTGAAGAGTCATGCGGAGCGGAAAAAAACACCTGACCACATGCAGTAAATTAAAGTGGGAGGGGGCGGGGAGCCCATCCAGGTACTCTGATTAATTTGGCTGCAACTCGGCATGGCTCTATGTAAAAAGGCTAGAAGAGGAAAAGGTTTGCAGCAATCCTAGGGGAGGAGGGTGACAGCAAAAACTCCAGGAGCATCGCTCGTATTCTCTTCAGACAAGACGACAAGAGGACGACAAGAAAGAAAAGCTGCTCTGATTTGCACTAGTGAGTACTGAATGCAGTAGCCACTTGCTACTTTCATAGGAAAATAATAATAATACCTTTTCTGATAAATTCTGCATTCTAACATACCTTTATGGAGAAAAGTTTACATTTTAGACTCTCCATTTCCCACTTCCAGCCAGACCCCAAAGGATGGCTTGGTGGGATGAAAAAGTGAATCCAAGAGTTACCGGTACTCAGATCTTCCTAATATTCAAATATTGTGCTGTATTTGCTCTCCTTTTTAACATTTAAAACAAAACTTTATCATCACTTGTTACACTGAGCTCATTTGTTTGCTTCATTAATCTTATCAATTTTACTTCTTCTTCTAACTTTGGTTCAAAAGATTCTTTTTGATTTTGTTTCCTTCACTTTTTTATACTAAAAAATGTATTCTGGTCAAGTACATTCGGTATCTGCATTTTTAGGAATGGTGTATGAAGTTTAAAGTGGGGCAGCATTTATTTAGTATTCTTTCATTATTTTCTGAAGGTTTTGGAATCACTCCGTGGAGACAATAGTAACCGTTTTTCATTTCTTACGCATTGTTCTTTTGGTCTTATATTCACTACTGAAAATAAAAGAAGGATATATTTATTTTTAATTTAAAACAAGTTGCTTGATAAAACAAAAAAAAAACAAGTTGCCTGATCAGAGGTGTTTTCTTGTGTGAGTAAGTGGTGACTAAATGGCGGTAGAATGATTATAAATTTCTTCCATATACCTGCAAAGTAATTTATTGCATATTAGTATTCTGAATGTTGGTTTCCTGTTTTAACAATATTCAGTATTTCTTTTCCCCTTTTAATTACATATTTTCAATTTTATCATTATTCCAAAATGAAGTAACATTTTGTATCACAAGATATACATCTTTTGTACTTTTTGTTGGCTTGGTTGTTTTCGGGAGAGGAATTCTTATCGTTTTTAAAGTGTCTGAAAGATTCTGTAGGATCTCCTTTTGCTTCCAAAGACTATGGTGACTTCTGGTTTGTAATTTAGAATAATAAAATCATACTGGCAATTGTTCTCTTAAACATCTATAAATTTTCCTCAGATTTAGGTCCTTTCTTTTCCCTTCTCAGGGGTGTTGTTGCTTTTGCAGGAAGGAGAAAATAAAAATTTCTAATACGCAGGGGAAATGCAAAATAGTCTGCACAAGATCAAATTCTGTTTCCTTGATCAACATTTAAATACTGGAATTTTGCCCACAAAAACAGACACTATTTGTCCTTGTCTATAACTTAGTTAGTTCTATAACTTAGATATAATTAACCATTATATGTAGAAAAAATAAAGAAAAACAGTAAAAGCAGGCAAACTGATGGACTTTTGAAAGAGAAATAGGTTATTTTTATAACCGTGTGACTGACAGATATGTGGACACAACTTATGTTTTGTGATGAACAATGTAACTTTGTTTTTTGCGACACAAATTTGCTTTTGTGGAGATCCTGTTTAATTCAATACATTTTTAATAATAATAATAATATTAATAATACTTTCAGGTAATTTCAGATATTAAATCCACTTGAATAAAATGAACTTAATAATGTAAATGAAATTAACTTAATTATATTATATGATTAGCAATTCTGAATTCATGGTTCTCTGTGTCTGGAAAATTCTCCATAGACCATAGATAATACTATTACCGCCTATTACTGTTGCAGTGAATGGGTCACTCTATTCTTGTATACATTTGGGCTTTGGATAGAAATGTCACAGACTTAATGGTGGATTTCAGATACAATGCTAACAAGCAGAAATGAGCTCACATGCTCTCTTCTCCATCTCTGGCACAGCCACGAGGAGATAGGAAGCATTCACTGCTTGTTTTCAACTAACCATTGTGTATTGTTAGATGCACCAGACAGGGGAATCTTTAGTTACTTTCAATTATGGTTTGTTGAGAATCAAACCATGATTTGTAATCCTGTGTTGTTAAAACAAATCACAGTTTAAAGGGACCAGGCTTTTCCCAGTTCACACATAATGATAAAGCGAATTGGAGTTTATCTCCAGTTAGGGAGGGGGAAGGGGAGGCTTGATTATGCTTCTTCGCTAAATGATGTTACATCTAGGGTTGCCATATTTCAAAAAGTAAAACTCCTGACAGCTTTTTTGGTGGAACAAACCCAAATTGTTGAGCTTTCCTGGGGAAACCTGTCAGATTTTCTTGGTCTTCTGTGCATTTTTTGTGGTGGTCTTTGTTTCAATCTCTGATTATTTAATCTATGTTTTAAATGTTGTACATTGTATATTTTCCATTTTCTACCAGTCACTTTGAGACCCCAGATGAAGTGAAAAGTGAGGTAGAAATATTAAATAAATAAATAAATACTGACTTCTTCACTCAGGGGCTTCTGGAGCTTTTTCTGGGATTGTCTGGATCCATTTCAAACAGGGTTTCCCTTACAGTTTCCCTTACAATACTCAACAAAAAGGAGTCTTGACTGTGGTTCTTAGGTGCCCTCTCATGCATGCAGAGCCCAACACGCCTGGATAGCAGCACTCTGCATGATTGTGCGCTCTAGTAAATCTCACACAATTCTCTGCAACATAAAGGAAATCCTCTATAGACATGTTGATGGAAAGAATTCTCAGGCAGAATCTTTGAAATGCACTGATCTAACTGAGAATCAGTATTTGTGATGACCCCACTTTACCCAACACTGTTGAACATGCCAAATAGATTGTATGCAAATGAAAACAAACAAGAGCTTTTAAGTTCACTTCCCCCTTCCCTTTCCTTATATGCCTGTAGTAGCAACATATTGTTTTCCAGAATAAGATTTTTATGAGCAGTGACACTGAATTTTTTCCAGTTAAATTGTACCACATGATGGTTTCACAATTAGGGAAGTTCCACATAGGAACCATAAAAGTTCATTTAAGATGCTCCCTATAATGGCTATGAAGCCAGCAGCAGGGTCATGGACTTTCTTAAGATCTACTGAGAGCCAGTGTGGTGTAGTGGTTAAGAGCAGTGGACTCGTAATCTGGGGAACCGGGTTCGCATCTCCACTCCTCCACATGCAGCTGCTGGGTGACCTTGGGCTAGTCACACTTCTTTGAAGTCTCTCAGCCCCACTCACCTCACAGAGCGTTTGTTGTGGGGGAGGGAGGGAAAGGAGAATGTTAGCCGCTTTGAGACTCCTTCGGGTAGTGATAAAGCTGGATATCAAATCCAAACTCTTCTCTTCTTCTACTACAAAAGAAATTTATGCAAGCCAGTGCTTAAAAACTCCAAGATAAATATGCAAAAAACCCTACAGTTGTTCCATTTTATATGTGTCTACTGTTGTTTTGTAAGTCACTCTGAGTTGAGTAAAAAAAGAGTAACTAATAAATTTAACTAATTAATTAATTAATAATATGTATCTTGCATTCCTATTTATTTATACTGTTAGGTGCACCACAATTTCCAAATAATGAAAGATTACAGGGCTGTCAGCATATATCTTGGGCTTGATTTCCTTTGAATGAAGGTTACTGGAGACAGTGGTGTCTTTGTGATATATAGTTTTATTTACACACCTATATGCAAGCTGAGCATTAGATGGAAGAGTTCACAGCATTAACACTTCAACAGATCTTGCTTCCCTATAAGATTTCTAGGGAGGCCCCCAAACCCATAGCTTTGGACTCAGCATAAACAGCAAGGCAGGCAGGTCTCCGTGTCTTTTCCCAGCCCAGTTCAAGATGAGACTGGTCCAGATCTATTGGTCTCTTAACACCAGTGACATCATCTCACGCTGCCTTTGGTTGATATAGCCTCTTTATATGTGGTAACTTCCCTCAACTGGACTTTGACAGAGGTTAGAATTGCTCTGCCCCTCTGATAAGCATACACTAGGCTAAAGAAGTTGCATTATTTTTACGATTATAGTGGTACCTTGGTTCTCAAATGCCTTGGTACTCAAACACATTGGTTCTCAAACACCGAAGACCCGGAAATAAGTGTTTTTCAGAAGCCGAATGTCTGGTGCAGCTGTTGGCTATTGTATCCGGGGTGCCTGCACCAATCAGAAGCTGCACCTTAGTTTTCGAACTTCCAGAACAGATTAAGTTTGGCGCTTTTGTTTTTGCTATTTATTTTGCATTTTTGTTTTTGAGGCTTTTTCGGTTAATTTGTTTTTGTGACTGTGTGGAACCCAGTTCAGCTACTGATTGTGTGACTGTGGAAATGGATAAGCCTCACATCCAAACAATGACTATCATCAGTGCAGGTAAGAAAAAATAATAATTTTAATTTTTATCATCTACAATACTGTTATTTATTTTATCGTACAGTATGTTTATTATTGCTTTCATTTTATGGATCTATGGTCTTGTTAGATAGTAAAATTAATATTAAATTGCTGTTTTAGGGGTTGTATGGAATGGGTTAATCCGATTTGCATTACTTTCTATGGGAAAGCGCGCCTTGGTTTTGGAACGAACTTCTGGGACAGATTAAGTTTGAGAACCAAGGTACCACTGTACAATGAATTCAAATAATATCTACATATATTCACACTCTAGGTCTCTGTTAGACATCCATAGCTTAGGCAATAATCCACATATGATACCGAATAAATCTATTAATGAAGATGAAGAAAATAAAACCAACTGGGGCTGTATTATCCACCACTTCCAAAAGCAGAAAGACCTGTGTGTGCCTTGAGCAAAGCCAAAGAGCAGAAGCCCAGGCAGGAAGCAAATAACAACCAGCCCTTGAAAGAAGTATCCTGAAAGAACTGCTTGGGAATCCAACCTCACCTTCCTTGGTCTATTTAAGATCTGGCTGCCCTGAGGGAAAGCAGAAGCTAGGGAGCAAGTGTCATCAGCTCCTGAAATCAGCCTGAGAATATTTTGCATCATTCATTGTGTTAGTAATTTAAATTATAAACTGCCTTGGAAGTAAGACAGTATATAAACATGATAAATAATCCACAGAGAATGAAGGAAGAAATCTATCTTGCTACTAACAATTTAGATTGACTGTTGCTATGTGATTTAGACAACTATGTGTTGCATTCAAGCCACTGAAAGCTTCCCACTTGGCCTCCCTGCCCCCCCCCGGAAGATTAATATATGTGTGGGAATGGCATAAGATGGCACCAACCCTATTGTTTCCTAGAATGTTCTCTGCATCCTCCGCATTCAGATATACTGGAGTTTGTTTGTTTGTTTGTAAGACTCATAAACAGTCTGAGCCCTTGTACAAAAGTGTTTCAATTGTCACGTCAAGTATCACTGGGAACTGAACTACCTATGCTCTTGGATCCTTCATACTAGACAGAACTTTAGGCAAGCTGTTTACAACATCTAAGTTTTCAGCAACTTGTTTTTGTTTATGAATTCTCACACAACTTGATAACGCTGACTTGGCTCACCCTGTGTGACATTAGTACAATTCAGACAATCATTGCCAGATGTGTCATTTTAAAAAGTTGTTTGCTTATTATTATCAATGTCAATGTGCCATCTAGTATGGAGAACATCTTGCTCCATGACTTGTATCCTTCAGTCCTTGAATTTTGCCACTATGATATACACTTATGAAGCCTAAAGCCACAGTATTATATTTTTCTGTATCAGCTAACTGGCATCTAGTTTCCTTTCAGGTACAGTTCGAGGAATGGAGACTAAATTTTAATACTGGTATTTTATAATAAAGATTAATACCGTAGTGATAGGGGCTAATCCTACTAAACAATGGTGCATTTAGAAATTAATAGAATTTATGTAATTACATAGAAGGAAAGCCAATTAATTTCCCATTGAAATCACCCCGAATAAAATGAAATAGTCTATTAATTTGCACCCAACCTGTTTCCACATTAATCTGCCAAATAATGACAATTTTCATTTAAGTATTTAAAAATGCATTTCTAAACATATTTTCTCTCAAAATACATGCTTTAAACATATTTTGATACTTTTGACATCAAAACTAAAAGCCAGTGGATAGCTTAGACCGAACAACCCTTTCCTGTAAGTAGGCATCATTGAATTCAATAGAACTTTTGAGTAGGCATGGTGAGGATTGCACTGTAAGTTCCTATCTGGACATTAGTCTTGGTGGTTCAGAGCAGGTCAATTTGTATTGAAATTCACAAATATCGATTTACTAAAGCATCTCTAATCGAGACCCAAATTGTTATAAACAACAAACAAACAAACAAACAAAAAGCTGGTTGCATGTCCTTGTTCGAAAGAACATGAACTGTATTATGCATGAGCAGTGAATGGGGGGGGGGGAGAGACTGGCATAAAGTAGAATAAACCTTTTTATAAATTGCTGACCGAAACATTGTTTGGGGTATGCTAGATAGTAGCCTACTCTCCTCATGCCCCAAACTCCAAGCATGATCCCAGGAGTAGGGTTAATACTAGTGGTTCTCAGATTCCCATGAACCCAGTTGGTAGTAAATTTCAGGGTCTATATCAGCTTCAGTTTATCATTAACTGCCCAGAACACATTGCTTAGCAGGAAGAATGCAAATGATATATGCAAATGATATAAATTATAGCTTTTTAAAGGGTGTTTGTGAGGATAAAATATAAACCCCCCAAAATAAATCTAGACACACAGGGTTTTTTTTGGAAATGTTATATTTTTACAAATAGGCAGCGTAGGGCTGCCGTATACATCTGGAATTTCCTAGACATAGCTGGGATTCGTTCGTCGAAAACTTTTGTGTCCAGATTTTCACTCTTTGAAATATGGCAATCCTAATGCAAAGGGAATATGGGCTAGCTGGCAAACATTCAGATAGCTGTTATAGAAGAATTAGTTTCTCAATCAACAAAGGAGATAACATGCTCTTGGAGCAATACTGGTAACTGCAAGAACTCAGTCTTCAGAATCATTATTTACTTTCTAGCTTTAAGTTTCCTTCTTAGTGCTACATACACAAGGTACTGCGCACGCACACACCACATACATACATACAGACAGACAAACAAACACACACGAAGTTTGTCCGGTTGCTTGCACAAGAAATGTATCTTCTTGCCATCAGTACCGATTAGGTTGGCTATCTTTTCACAATAGAACAAAGTAGAATTCCTTTAAGACTATCTGAGGTTACTCCTTGCATAAATACTATGCGGACTAATATTTATCATAACTATAGCTCCTTTTAATAAACAACTCCTTTTGAAAACCTTCACAACAGTCCTAAAAAGGCCAAGACAAGCCACATGCCACAAAGGTTACATTCTGTCATGAGTTTTTTCACACAGAGACTTCACATGGAAACTTCTGCATCTCAGCTCATTCTTTCTTTTTTTGACACACTTCTGCTTATCCTGACAGTTTCCCTTGGGAAACTCTGATCTTTACCATGGAATTGGAGCAAGCATCAGTTTCTCTGCGGATTGACGTTTGCTCCAATTCGGTGCTAAAGAGTGGGTTTTCCTGGAGAAAGCGGTAGAGCAAACAGAAAACCACTCAGACATGTGTCTAGAAAGCATGTGACAAGCGGTAAACTACCCAGACCCATGCATCCTAGGCATGGGATAAGCAGAAGTGTGGCTGAGCCGTTAAGCATTCTATAGGTCATCCTAGAGATGATTAAGGAGTGTGCATTGAGATGCCCTCTTCAATTAATGTATTTCCCCTCTTTGTGCCAGCCTGGCAAAATCCCCACCACAACAACTTAGGACATGTGTGAGCATCCTTGCCATGGCTGAGAAGAGCAAAAGAAGTATCTGGAATTGCCTACCGGATACCCTTTCCAGGACAAGCATCAGGGACTAATGTTTCAGTGTGATGTGTAACTTAGCACTACTTACTCAGATTCAGTTTCACTCCTAACCCATAAATCTCTACATTTTAGCAGCAGATCAAGTGCAAACTTAGTATCTGGTCATTCTGCTTTAAACCAGTTTACATAGCACTTACTGTATTTTTCAGTGTATAAGATGAGGTTTTATAATAATAAAAATTATGTTCAAAATTGTGGGTCATTTTATACATGGACACAATCTCCCCCCATTTTCTTAATCTGGAGTTCCCAAAAATAGGGGGTGTCTTATACATGGGGGGGGAGTGTTATACATGGAAAAATACTGTAAATCCATTGGTTTTGCTACAGATGGTTTGAGCTAAATTGATTTCAACAAGAGCTCAGCTGGTTTATGTGAGCCTAAATTCAATATTTGCAAAAATTTAAATATGTTCTGTTAAATTAGTTCAGCTAGTGTAGTTTTATTAACCCGGACAAAGTCTTAACAGGAGCAATCAGCTGGCCCAGGCTATGTTCCATATTAAGATGTGGCATTGTGCCAGTGAATTTTCCAGAATGGAAAAATGCCCTAGAGTTGAAATATATTATTGGTAAGAAGGCGTGATCACAGTCTTTCACTGTGCATTTCCCTACTGATAGAGCTTTGCTCTGTGGTCGTCTTTTTTCCCCTGTCAACAAGTTTAAAAACTAATATTTAATGCCAATGAACAGACTCATTGCTCCTTACAAATGAACTGAAAGGAGAGGACAGAGAAGTCCTAGAGAGCTGCTCCAGAGAAGGTAACTATGAAATAATTTGTATTGAGAGATCAAGGCCATCTGGAGGCACTGAATAATATGAATAATTGATATATGTCTGGTTTTCCTGAAACGAATGGATTCTGATGCACTTGCAAAACAGAAGGGGATTTATTATACTTAACAAATTATGCACGTCATATCTAGAACACACTGATAGCCATAATGCATCACACAACTGAAGCCCTTTGACTCCAGTGAGCTTCTGCACTCATAACTGTGATGGACTGTGATCAGTCGATGCAGACTAACTGTAACAGACAGGATTAGTTCTGAGTTTAAGAACTACATAAAGGGCTAGATGGAAAAAGAATGAAGCAAAAAGATATGTATATGAGTCGTGTTTCGGGCTTAAGTTGGGGTTTTTTAAGGCCTATTTCTTAAATAACATGAATCTTATAATACATATTCAATGTGGGATGGTTTTAACATTCATGAATAATGATTAAAATGTACTATATCCTGCACACAGACATACACATCACACACAAGTCTTTGCACCTTGTCTTCTCTGGGATTATGTGGTGAGAATTGGTTTGAGAATTGTGTTCTCAATATGTAACATTCCCAAAGGTAGACGGGCATACAAAAAATTATTTAAAAGTCTGAAAACAAACCTTTTCTGTGTTATTGTTTATTGATAGCTGTCAAAACCATAGAACTGTAGAGTGGGAAAGGACCCTGAGAGTCATTCCCCCCCCCCAATCAATTGGGTAATAAAACAATTTGCATAATTATAGCAGGCCATAACTTGTTGTGATGGGTGATACAAACCAGCATGAAACTGATTTCATTGAACCTAAGCATACTTGACTATGTGTGAGATTGTGGTTAACATGTTTTGTGCAAAATATTATGGAGATATTCCACAAAGCAACAAGTGTTGGTTTGTGTTTGGTTTGAACGTGTTCATTGTTTCTAAATAGTCTCACTCACCATTTTACCATACTGGATTTCAAGACAGTGTACAAGTTCAATTTAAAAATAGAAAACAAGAAGTGGGGCACTGAAATAAAATGTTACTATGTAGAGTGATTCAGCCCCTTCGTTCCATTATTTCTCCCCAAATATTTATCTCCCCATCCTCCTGCAACAGTCCAAAAGCATCCAGTGTGCACTGAGCACCCACAACCTATCTTCATTTGGCTCTGGGTTTTTTCAGGGTGGGGAGCTCCATTATGGTTTTGAGGAGATGTGTCAAATCTCAGCTACAGTAAAATACTGGATCTCTCCATTTATTTATTTATTTATTTATTTATTTATTTACATAGCTCTCACCCCTAACTCTGGGGATATTTAAAAATAGCTTCTTAGTGTGGCCCTGTATAGGGAAGCTTTTTAAGGTTTAATGTTTTTATATATGCTGGAAGCCACCCAGAGTGGTCAGTGCAACCCAGTTAGATGGGTGGGGTACAAATAATAAATTGTTGTTGTTGTTGTTGTTGTTGTTAATATGACTGAGTTTAAATGTGTTCAGCAGTTTTTATGGGACTAAGTTGATATTTAAGAATGGATAAACTTGGAACTGTTTGACTTGGAAATGGCTGCTTAAATTTGATCACCACTGGAATTTTTCAGTTGATTTGATAGTGTTCACTTGGGTTTAATTGTTTGTTCGTGGATTAAAGAAAGCTGATACTTTACTTTCCTCTTGCCTTATGCAAGCAATCAGGTGCTTCATATTTTCTCTTATGTATGTCTTCACAATGCTTCAACAATAACTTCAATTGTTACAGCAAAGGGCAGTGACAAATATTTACTTTACAGTAACAAAGAGAAATTGCAAGAATGCAACATAGCAGGAACAGGGCATAGGAATATAAAAGGAGCCCCTTTTAATTCTATTTTAATTATTTGCACACTGACAACAGTTTACAGTTTACATTCCCTGTTCTGGTATACCAGATTTTTTTCGAATTGTAGAAGCCAAATCATAGTTATTTCAATTACATTGCATGTATTTTCTTCCTGGAGCCAGTCAAAAATATAGTTAAACAGATCTTGTCATAGAAACAAAATTTTAAAGGTGTTTCCTATCTTGTGGGAGTGGTGATAATATTCTGGCTACTTTGCAGAACTCTAGCCCAATGGTTGCCATTAATTTGATTTGAACTGATTTTATAATGAATTGCTTTTAGAATGCTGTATTATTTTACTGTTGTTAGCTGCTCTGAGCCCGGCTTCAGCTGGGGAGGGCGGGATATAAATAAAAAAAATATGATGATGATGATGATGCAAGGTTAATCAGTAAATGAAAGTGAGATTGCTATTTTTGCCCTATTGTAATAATTTTGCCTCTTTAACCCAACAGCCTTTGCTTCCTTTGACCCCATACTGATGTGAGTAACTGAGGTTATTGCAAACAGAGCAAGGCAACAACAACAACAAAAAGTTGGCATCCTTTTTGATGCCTTTTTATCTTCTAAAAAACTCATCCAGAAGTGAATCCAGGGCTTTCTAGAGGGTTTGTGAGCTTAAGGTCTTACACTCTATCCATTCTAGCAAAGGTGACTAGTTGGAAGGACAGAACGAAACGCTGCAAAAATATTTGTATACTTTGACATTATATGCACTACCCTCTTTTCCCTCAGGTATATGTGACTGATACAAAAAATTAATACGGTGTTATTTTCTTTCTCTCTCACACCAGAATGGAATATAGGAACTTCCTCCTTGGCTTCCTTCTCTGCTGCACTTTGCTCATAACCAGCTACTCTTACATGGTATTTGAGGAAAAGCAGAATGCCGTCAACAGTACGGTAAATAATAACAAAATCAAGTTTCCGGATCTCCCACCTATCTCAATAGTAGGTCAGTAAAGTCTTCTGTTTGGAATCTTAAAACAGAACTGGGAGGCATGCAACTTCTGAAAGAAGAACTCATTGTGTCTCTTTTACCTCTGCCTCTCTTCTGGTACTCTGTAGCCCAGCCTTGATCAACCTGGACCTAATCTGGAACTGAGCCCTGCCATTATTTATTTATTTTTAAAATAAACTAATACCGTCATTTCAGGCAAGTAGGAGTGGAAAGGAACACCTCTCAAATTCAGCTGATTAATTTTACGTTTTCAAAAACAAAAGCCTATACTCCTATTAGATACTGAGTGACTGAATCCATGTAAATCCCTTAGCTATATTTGCACTTTAGCTCAAATCGTCACAATCCCACCAATGCCTCTGTCATCCTTAAAAAAAAGCATAAAGCTATGGGGTAGCTTTCCAGGACTACTCAAACTGAACCCATATGAACTCCACCACATCACAGAGTTACCAGATGAGTCAATCAAAACTTCAAGGCTAATTTTATAAAGGCTCTTCATAGGCATTCTGGGATTAATAGAAACACATTTACATTAGCCATCTGTTCACAAATAGCTAATTGAACTAAATTGAGAGTAAAGTAAATTTGATATTGGGAAAGCTCAACATCTAAGCAAAATATGGCTTTCATAATTGACCTGAATCTGCTATCATTTCAGAATACAGCCTACCCAAGTTAAGGATTGTCATGACTTCTAAATGCTTGGGAATAAATCACAGAACATTGCAAAAGACAATAGTGGAATTCGCTTTCCTTTATAATGCTCTTGAATGAGAACGCCAGCTATATCGGTTGGAATTCCATGTAGCACTATTCTGAACATTCTGTCTGCAGAAGCATTTCAGCTCGCCAGATGGAATGATTCCCCCCTCCTCCCCATGTGCTGTTCTGGAGGCTTTCTCTCACACACACAAGGTAATTTCAGGGGCACAAGGGGAGAAGATGAGGGAAAGTTCCATTGTGCAAGTGGAAGCCCTTGTAAGGGTTTCTGCTGATGTGGCTCCTTAGGTGAATCCCACCCAAAGTATTTTTGTAAACCATCATAGAATATAAATGAAGGGTACAGTATAAAAGCAATGTAAAATAAATCTCAATAATTACCTTGACTGCTGAAGTCAGGTTCACTACTACCAGAATGGAGCAAAGTTGTGTTCTACTTCCTCTGACAAAGTCAACTGGATCTCAGTTATCTCTTGCATGAGGTTTGGTAGAAGATGTGTTATCACAATCCATCTGTAATGGCAATGAAGTCCACTTTGGAAAAATGAAGATATACAGACAGTTGCTAAAATTAGATGTATTGGAATGGGTCCAGAACCACCAGGCCTTAGAACATCCCCTGCCTAGCCTCCTCTTTGGTTCTTTCCTTCCCAAAGTGAGCTGCCAAGGAGCAATAGATCATTTCTATGTATCCAGCACTGAAGAAAAACAAGCCATCTGTGGAGGAACACCACAGTATTATCAGAACAAACAAGCAGTTCACTTTTCTTCCTTGCTCAGTACTGAGGAAACAACTGCTTTCCAAGATCCATTCTAGCTAGCTTTTCAGATGCAATGATGGGAAGGATAGCAACAACTGCCCAAACCTCCAATGATACTTTCAGCTTCTCTACCCAGTGGACCTGCACATGCGAGAATGAATGGATGATGGCAGAATAGGACATGTGCTTGTGTGTATATGAGAGTGAGTGAGGAAAGAAAGGAGGGAGAAAATGGAGAGTAAAAAACTATGCATGACTTGGAGAAAGTAGATAGAGAAAAAATTTTCTCCTCTCATAACACTAGAACTCAGGAACATCCAATGCAGAGTCATGTTTGAAGATTTAGGACAGACAAAAGAAAGTACTACTTTATACATAGTTAAACAATAGAATTCACTCCCACAGGAGGCAGGGATGACTACTAACTTCAATGGTTCTAAAAGGGGGCTAGACAAATTCATGAAGAATGGCTCCTAGCTACTGGCCACAATGGCTATGCCAGAAGCAGGATGTTTTTGAATAGTAGTTTCTTGAAACCACAGTAGAGGAGTGTGCTCTTGCACTCAGTTCCTATGTTTGGGCTTCCCATAGGCATCTAGCTGTTCATTGTGACAACAGGATGCAGATGGGCTGTTGACCTGATCCAGCAGGCTCTTCTTATGAGTGGCAGAGAGAAATTCTCTGTTTTGCAACCTTGGGTTTTCTAACAAATCAAAAAAGACCTACTTCCAAACTCAGACCTACTTCCAAACTCTAGACTGTAAGGTACTGAGAGAGGAAAGGAGACAAGGTACATGTCTAGTACCCTTGCATGTGTCTGCTATGTACATTGATGTATGTGTAAATAAATCCCTGCAAGGGCAAAGGAGCATATAAGCGAGGTTGCTTATATTAGAAACAAATATAAATAGACAAATGAGAAATGACTGTAATTGAAAAGGCCTGTAAAAAGATGCTTCACACTTTCTATCAGTATAGATTTACTGTCATCAGGATTACATGGAGATCATTATACTCTTGAGTAATCATCAGTTACAAAGAGCACATGAAGCAAATCAGGATGGAATTGAGGACCTGGAAGCAGCAGCGATGGATGCATTCAGGAAGATGAAAGGCTGCAAGACAAAAGTAAATGTCAGCAGAGGTGCTGGAAGTCAGCGCTGATAGAAGGTGTGACCTCTCTTTTTGTAGGCCTTTTCAATTACATCCTTCAGTAGGGAAATGATGAACAAGTACCATAAGGCTTTTCAGTGTGTATTTAAAACACAAAAGGCATATTATCTATTATGTGAGATTTCCAAGAGAGGAACTAGATGAAACGTGATCTGACATAGGTTGTGCTAAATTGCTATAAAGCAGAAGAAGGGAGGTAATTTAATGTACAGCTGAGTGAGAAGGGTACTTTCCCGCAGCCATTTTTTCTCCTGGGTGGAGTTATTTTTGATCTGGAAAGTGGTAGGGCAACAGTGATTTCAGTGGTACAACATAGGCAGAGACATTCCTTCCTGTCTGCCCCAATGCACTTTATACTCCCAGCCCACATAGGATTTTGACAGCGTCACATGGATCACATCTGTCTGTCTGCAGAGGCTCAGTTATGGCTTTATATCCAGGTGGTGTATAAAGGTTTGATTTGAATTACAATGATTTTTAGCAGTACTATATTTTTGTAAGAGCATCTGTGCAGCAATCATGGCCAATAGCCAGGGATTATGGAAGCTGTAGTTAAGCAACATCTGGAGGACCAATGATTCCCCACACCTGACACAGCAGGAAACCATGGCTTCTCATTACATCCAAACCTACCCAATTCTTCAATGTCATACTTCCACCCAGCCTATTAAGGAGATTATTTTCACCTGCAAGAGGCGAAGAAAGGAGGTGGGTTAGAGAACTGTTGGAGAAATAGGAGGAGAGTTGCAGAAGCTATGTCTCCAAGTGCTGAAAGTTATAGGCAATGTCACCTGGTGATAAGCTGAATGCTCAAAAGCTCAAGCAAACCTGGCATGCTCAAAATCAAATGAACATATGGAGCAAGGTGGTTGCACTAGATTATATATAATTCGGGAAGGGTTACCCAGAACGTTTTTTAGTGCTCAGATATATGAAATGCATAGAGTTGCCATCACTCCCCATCTCTTTTACCCCCCCCCCATTCTTCATAAGTATATTTTTGTATGTATAGTTCTTCTGACCCTACAATTGTCATCTCATGATGTATGGTATATAAAAGGCAATACAGTAACCCCCACCCTCCAAATGTACTCAGCAGGCCCTGTCAATGTGACCAATGATCAGGGATGGTGAGGTGGCAGGGTATAGAACCAAATGGTGCAAATGTCCCGGAAGGCCTGTAAACACCATCTTGGTAGTCAAGATAACCCCAGGACTAATTCATATTTACGGCAAAAATAAACTCATATATGTTTATCTGCTTGCTTTGAAGCTTTAAAGTCTCAAGCTGGCTGCCTTTCAGCCACTCCCTTATCTGAGAGATGGATGGGACTGGGGAACGGACCTCTAAGCCAGGGGTTGTTAATTGGGGCAGCTTACGTAGCTGGCTTTTTATATAAGTAGCCCATATACGATTGGCCTGTCACAAACAAAGCCATGGTGCTTGCTGTTTCAGTGTCCGTCCTGAGGTATAGCTGCAAGGAATCCTGCATTGCATTGCTGTATGTAACCTTCTTGATATAAAGCACTTGAACTGATCACTTTGCCATTTTGTGCATATTTCTTTGGAATCCCTGCAACTGAGTTCTTTGGGGCATCAGTCAATCCTTCGTCCCAGTCTGTATTTGGACTCACGGGGATGAAACATGGTGTTGTAGTAGCATCTGGAAGGTACTACATCACCTACCCCTGAAGTAAGCAAATTGTGAGGTGACACAGAGGGTGATGTCATCATGTTACATATTGTAATTTGCCACATTACTTGGAATAAGGGGACAGAGACAAGCAATGTGAGAAAATCCATGTCTCTCAAAGTATCTACTTTCATGTTACACATTCATGCATTGTAACACCTTTAATAAAATGTTTTTTCCCTCTAAAGATTTAACCAAAACGTCCCTGAAGCTCAGCAGGAATGAGGCTGAGAAAAGGAAATCTATGAAGGTGAGTGATACATCTTGAAAAGTCAGCAAGGTCAAAATAGTTCAAGTTGTCAGTAACAGGTTATAGGACTTCTCACTTTTACATTTCTGTTGCTGATGGGGATATCTACATTACCAGCTTATATTAACAAGTATAGTATCTCTGTACTTATATGTATAACTCACCTTTCTGTGTCTTCACACTCTAAAATCAGTTAAGAAAAAAGCAAGGTATGTACCTCACATCTAGTTTAGTCCAAAGTTCATACATACACAGACACACAATATCCTTCATGGAAGCCAAGGCAGCATAACTGTGATTCCCAGGCAGTTGCCACTCTGACCAGACTACTTAGCTTCAATAAGATGGTGGCCACATGTGCCATATGTGAAGTGTTTCAATTGCACATGATTTCACACAAGTGCATGATAATCTGGAACATAACCCCAGTGTAAATCAGGGGTTGCCTGTATACTGGATATGCTTTGTGTGGGAACGTTTATATGATTTAGCAGAGTTTAAATGATCCCCTGTTTGAGTTTATGCAGCAACAAGAGGGTTGCTAATTCATTTGAGTCCTATCAATTATACCTTCCTGGTTGATAACCCCTTTCTGTCCCTCTTAAAGAAAACACACATGAATCTGAATCATATTAACATAAACTACTTTACTTTTAGATTCATTCAGGTTTACACAGTTGTTCCTGAAGGCAGGCTTAGGTTACATGACAGATAAACTATATACTAGATAGTAGTGAATCATGACAAGACTGCATCCGAGCAGTTACCAGTTAACACTCCTAGCAGCAACCAACCAACTGACAAAACTGCCTGCCACATAGAGGCAGTTAGTCCTCTCGGAATGTTGGACTTGACTGACAGCTTTATATCCCACAGTTCGGGGGGGCAGGGTTGGCACTAATTACAAGTTTGATATTAGGTTTGACTGCTAGTAGAGAACTAAATCAGAATCTATACAGTCGGATCAATTGAACTATGAGATTATCTGTGAATGCCAGACATGCTAAAAGAAAAATTATACGGTTGCCTTCAGCAGAACAACTAGATAGGAAATTAAGCTTATTTCCAGAGAACTACCCATATCCATAGTAAAACTACGGTAATTGACAGGTATGCAAAAAAATTGGATCTTAAAAATGGATCACAGACTTTCTTCCTGACCTTCAATAATGGGTTTTTTTAAGCTTCTTTATTATTCAAGAATGTTGATATTCTACATTTACCAGCTTCACAGACCAGTAGAAACAGTGGAATCTGCCTTATACTGAGTTAGACCATTGGTTCATCCAACCTAGTATTGTCAACCCTGACAAGCCATAACTCTTGAGGGTTTCAGTTCACGCTTACTGGAGATGCCTGGGATTGAACCCAATGGAAAGGAAAGCATACACTCTACTAGTGATCTATGGCCCTTCTCTGGGGTTTTATTTTAAGTAGATTTTTTAAGAGCAAAAATCCTCAGTTGCAGGGCTGCCATACATCTGGATCTTCCCAGACATTAACAGGATTTCAGAAGCGGAACTGACTTCCAAGGGGAAATGTGCCTTGTCTTGGATCTTAGGCAAGTCAATAGAAAAATTGTGCGGGCTTTCCTTTAAAAAACTCAACAACTTTTGGGGTGTCCTGAACTATGGCAACCCTACACTGTTGGAACTCTTATTATAGCCAAGAGTTATTAAGCTTTTCATCCTTTTTTCCCCTCCGCAGAAAAAGGCACAGCAAAAAAAGCCTCCCCAACCAAGACCTCCACCACCACCCAACTGTGTGCCTACTTGGTCAAGCTGCAAGCCACCATCTCGTCCCTGCTGCGATTTTTGTGCCTTCTGTCACTGCCGACTATTTCAGACAGTCTGCTACTGCCGTATGGGAAACCCAAACTGCTAAATCAAAAACCAGGGATGCCACGGGGACTCTGTGTCTTATTAGACCCATAAGGCCTCTTTGTCTTATGTGCATTGCAAAGGAAGCCAAGAACTTTTGAAGCTGGCTGGCTGGCTGGCTTTTACTCCCTCCCAAACTGCATGAATTATGGGATATTTTTCATGAGGTAAATGCTGTCATAAACAAGACAGCCACTGCCCCAGCAAGTATGACAAGGAATGGAAAGAAAGGAGATGCAGCCTGACGGCCTGAAAGGGTATTTACAAGAGAGGTGAAAAGAAGCAGATTTCATGTCAAGAAGGAATTATATCTCTCTTCAGAAGTGGTATTATATTGCACATTACAAGTTTGAATGAGAAACATGGGCCACTGACTAGCTACAAAAGGCACATTCCAGAAAGTCAGCCATGTAGCAATAAAGAAGATTTTTAAATAGTATAGGGCAGATGGAGACAAGCTACTGCTCAGTCTTTTATAGTTAGCTCTCTGTCAAGGGTGGAAGATAAAAGCCTGTTGGAAACTGCCAACCCAAGGTCCTAGAAAAGAGTGGCCCTTACCCAAATTATTATGACCACTGCATCTCCTTTGAAGCGGGGAGCATGGCCGCACTTAGTTCCACAGACACCTACTGAATAGTATGATATCAACACAACATGCCACAAATCCAGCCCATCCTATTTACCACAGTGGCTAACCATATGCCTATGGGAATCCTACAAGCAAGGTACAAAGGTAATAGACCTCTCCTGCTGTTGTCCGCAGCAACTGGTTGTCAGAGGTGCACTGCTTCTGTAACAAAAGGTAACAAAAGGAGGGAAGAGGAGCATGCGTGGGGTGGACTGCCCAGAATTTGTGAGCTTTTTTTAGGAGGGAAGTCCCAGAGTTGTTGAGCTTTTTTGGGGGAGGATTGCACAGAGTTTTTTAGTTTTTTCCACAAGCACTTCTCACATGCACAAATATTCTTTTTTTACTTTGCTACTATGATGTGGGGACGCAGGTGGCACTGTGGGTTAAACCACAGAGCCTAGGACTTGCCAATCAGAGGGTCGGCAGTTCGAATCCCCGCGACGGGGTGAGCTTCCGTCGTTCGGTCCCAGCTCTTGCCCACCTAGCAGTTCGAAAGTATGTCAAAGTGCAAGTAGATAAATAGGTACCACTCCGGCGGGAAGGTAAACAGCGTTTCTGTGCTCTGCTCTGGTTCACCAGAAGCGGCTTAGTCATGCTGCCCACATGACCCGAAAGCTATCTGCGGACAAACGCCGGCTCCCAAGGCCAGTAAAGTGAGATGAGCGCTACAACCCCAGAGTCGAACACGACTGGACTTAACGTCAGAGGTACCTTTACCATTTTAAGGATCCCATGATCTGCCAGGATCAGCTGGGGATCTACCAGTAGATCACGATCTACTGGTTGGACATCCCTGATCCAACCCCCTGCAATGGAGGAATATGCAGCTGTCCCTTACAGAGATCAGACTTGCAACCTTGGTGTTATCAGCCCCACACTCTAACCAACTGAGCTATCCTTCATGAATCCAACCCTTTTTAAACCATCACAATTGGTGCCCATCACTACATCACAAACTACATTTACTTCCCATTGTGAAAAAATGCACTCCTCTTTCATTCTTTTAATTTTTAAAAATTAAATACATTCTGTCACTGCAGCAAATCTCATCTCAATATCTCCATTTTTAGGTAGCATGTGCTAAAATAGATATCATTTCTTTACCAAATTAATTCAAACTCTGTCCCAAAAATACCTGGGCTCTGCAGGCTGTGTTGATTAAGCAGGTTTTCTTGCTTAATCTATACAGGTTAATCAACACATCTGCTAGCAATGGGTACTTTCCAAGAACTCTGCAGTGCAGTTTCCTCCTCACAGACCTACAATACCAGGTACTTTTCATAAACTACAGTTCCCAGGATTCTTCAGAATAAGTCATGTGCTTTAAATGTCTGTTTGAATGTTCTTTAAATATACAATGTGGATCTGTCGGGATGAGGAATGGGATAGGGCAGCAAAGCAATATGTCAGGCAGAAATCCATAGCGAAATAGAAAAAGAGAGGAAACTTAAATGGAGATGAAAACACTGAATATCTAAGGCCTGGGGGAAAACTGGAAAAGGGGTGGGGGAGAGACACCAGGGTTTTTTCCAAACCAAAAAAAAAATGGCTTTTGGGGGGGGGAAACCTGGGTCCCCCCAATTTTTTTCTGGGTTTTTTCCCAGGCCTTCCCATCTCTAGAAGGGACCCCAACGGTCATCTGTAGACCACCTCACTGCAATGCAGCAATCTCCACCAACCGTCAACTATGAAGAAAAGGAACATTTAGCAACTTTAAAATATATGAAAAAAACAGTGAAAGAATAAGGGGGGGGAATTAATGGTATATGTTCAATTTGTATTTCATAAATAACAGGCATTAATAACAGATCAATAAAAATAGCATTTCTTATGCTATTTATGTTTCTTTTTGGGTTTAAAAAATAAATAAATTTCCACATGCACTGTCAGAGAAAAATAGCAACAACACAGAAGATCCATACCATATAGAGGAGGAGGAGGAGCATATAAAAGTAAATACACAGTACTTTAAAAAATAATGTAAGAAATCTATAAGCTGCCTAAGGAAACATGGACATTATTGTTGTATGACCAAAAAGAGTGGAGAAAATTGAATAAAAGAGGTGACAAGGAAAAATATTTCAAGCTTACTTGAACAAAGCTGATAAATAAATAGGCTTTGATCTGTGACTTGGGCCTGCCCTCTCAGGGATAAGGAAAAACACTTCAAGTTTACTTGAAGTTGATAAATAAATAGTCTTATAAATAGTCTTTGAATTATTTACTAGCCTCAAGTAAACCTGATTTCTCTCTCCCACCCCACCCCCTTTATTTCAAGTTTACTTAAAGCTGACTAATATTCTTTGGACTACTTATTAGCTTCAAGTAAACATGAAATGGTTTCCCTTCTGAGAGGGCAGGCCCAAATCACTTTTCTGCCCGAGGCAGAACAGCAAATGTCGCTTCAGCATTCCCAGTCAAGATGCATTGTAACTTTGGCTGGTCTAGATATTTTGGCTCCTAAATCAGATAATCCCATAGGTGCCTCTCCACCCCTCCCCTCTGGGAGTATAAATACAACAAGTATATAAATTAACCTTTTTCCTGCCCTTGCATAACATGCAAAATCAGTTGCCTGAGAGAGCTGCCTCAGCCTCACTCTGCTTAATGGTGAGGCCGGTCCTGAAAGCAAAATTAAATGAAGTTATGTGAGGAAAATAAAACTGAGGAAGGAAGGAAAGGGAACACTTCTTTAAAAAAAATGAACCAATGTTGGCATACTGTCAATAAAGAAAAATAACTATAGATATAGAATGTTTGACAGCAAGCTGAAGATAACCAAGGGAAATAAGACTGTTTATCCAGGGGTCAGCAACCTTTTCCAGCCATGGGCCGGTCCACCGTCCCTCAGACCATGGGCCGGTCTATTTTTGGGGGGGGGGGGGAATGAACAAATTCCTATGCCCCACAAATAACCCAGACTCATGTAACCCTACTCATGTAAAAACACCAGGCAGGCCTCACAAATAACCCAGAGATGCATTTAAAATAAAAGGACACATTCTACTCATGCAAAAACACAGTGATTCCCAGACCGTCCGCAGGCCAAATTTAGAAGGCGATTGGGCCGGATCCAGCCCTCGGGCCTTAGGTTGCCTACCCCTGGCTTATACCAAAATAGAAGCCCCGTATTGAAAAACTGAAGAAGAGAGGATATCAAAAGGCATCTATATGCATAGAGGAAGCACTGTAAAAGAAATCACCTTTATCTGCATGACTTAAAGAGAATATTGAAGGTTCAGGGCTGGCTCAAGACACCTTATTGCCTGAGGAAGAACAGAAAATTGCATATAGTACCCATGGTCAAATTATTCAGACACCTGAATAATATACATAATTTGATAAGTGTGTGCCAATATTGCTCTGTCGCTCAGCGAAACATTTCACAAGTGAGAAAAGCGGTCCCTTTAAGACAGGGACTGATCACTGTTGGGAACAGGATACCAAATTAGAGGAACTTTTGATCAGTGCTGTGGCCCTCCATATGTTGTCAGCTGTGCTGTCGTCCTCCAGATGTTGTCATATTCCCATCAGTCCCAGACATCATAGTCCATGGCCAGGGGGCTGGTAGCTGAATGTCCAATATCTTTCCAAAATCCTCCTGGATATTATTTCCTCCAGAATATTCACCAGTGTAACAGTAGTCTTGTTTTTATCTGTGGGCGTCAATTTAAAATAATTCTCCTGAACATGAACACGCAACATAGCAAAGCATTATATATGTATATTTAGGAAGATGAGTTTTCGGCACACTAATTAATGTTTAAAATTAAAAAAAAACTATTTAATTTAGGAGGAGAATGCATACAAATTAAAACAGTGAACTTTTGTTTTTTGTACGTCCCCATTTGTACTGCTGAATACAAAAAAACTAAGGCCCTTTCCAGAAGCATTTGACTGATCACTGTTGGGAACTGGGTAATAAATTAGAGGAACTTTGGAACCAATTCAGCAGGTATTGCCTTATAATCTGATGAGGTAGCGAAATAACAACAGTACAATCCTAACCATGCCTGAATTCTGAACTGCATTGCTTCTGGTTAGAGCTGCCATATGCCAGGATTCAGCTGTCAGAATGTTTTTTGAGATTTTGCCAAAAAAAAAGCTCTACAAATCCCCCCCCCCAAAAAAAGTGGTATATTATGGTTGAAGTGGTTGATTATGTTCTAAACACACCATGATGATTTTTTTAATATAAAAAAGCTATGGTCTATACAGAAATAATGACCCCCAAATCCATCATAGAGCTTTATTAGTCAACAAGTTTTGAGTTATGTAATTAACTAGCACAATGTGAAAAAGGTTTAGCATTACGTGGTTCACCCTTCACCAATCTTGTGCCCTCCAAACAACAGTCATGCAATGTGCTGGCTGAGGTTGATGAGAATTATAAAACCCAAAACATCTAGAAGCACCAGGCTGTTGAACACTGGTATGGTGGTACAATCTGTAATTCTGCCACCTCACTCAGTGTAGTGCATAACATGGCTATATCCAAGCAGAATTTACTCGGGTGCCTTTCACACATTCCCCAAGCATACAGGAGCTATTTTCTTAAGATGTGCTCTCACATCTGTATTAAAGCACAATGAATCATCTGTCATTGGGCTTTCTGGGGCATGAGAATAACTTGCAGACTTGGATTTCCTTACAGAGAACTGTGTGAGAACAAAGTAAACAAAGAGCACAAAAAATATAGATGTATTCTGCGAAGTGGGCTCAGAAACGTTTGTTTTTATGCCTTTGCTATTTAATTCTTTTGCACCCTCTTCAAAGACCAGTGCTCAATATAAAGGCCAGATGTTAAGAGAGAGTGGAGGGCAGGTTTGCTAGTCCATCCTCCTATGAAGTTGGGACAGAAAGACAGAGACAGAGACCAAGAGGGAGTCTAAGCAGTGACAGACAAAACCTCAAAGAACATTTGTCTCCCTCAACATTGTCTATTGACTGCCATAAATCTTAGAAGGTTGGATTCTATTAAAATGCTCATAACAATTACAGTACTTCTAATCAGCCCTACAGCGTTGGAGATCTGCACTTAATTTGCTTACGAAGAAAAACCCCAAAGTGAAAAGAAGGGATAGTTCACACCATAAAAGCAGCCATCCATCCAGTGATGTTCAGATATGAGGTTTCAATCATTTCCAAATTCACAATAATGTTCTCCAAAATTAGAGTTCAGATTTTTAGCATGGCATGTTGATCTTGTAGTCTAATATGAAAGTGTTGACAGAGGACAAACCAGCCACCTTGGCCTCGATCCAGTAAACCCATTTCTGCCTTTTGTTGGATTCTACCAAAAAGCAGAAATCTTGCACAGCATCATAACCTGCTTTTTTAAATTAATGGCAGCACAAAATATCAGGGAGCCTTGTAGTATGGTTGTCAAGCAAACTTAACAAAAT